AACACCCGGAAAGGGAAAAAATTATAAAAAAACCACATGGTTATGGAAGGGAAACTTGATCACAAACCCCCTGGATTTTATGACAAGATAACGAATAAGACACGAGAGAGAGGGGTGGGTAGATTGGCTTTTTAGACTGCAGAAGGCCCTTTGGGCAAGTTCCCCCCCAAAAGATTTTAGAAGTGGGGGGTCAGGCGCATGTAAAAGGGGGGGCACTGCTGGATAAAAGGGGTACCTGAAGGGGCAGCAACGAGTCATGGTACGTGAAGAGGTATCACAGGGGCGCTGTTACAGCGGGTCCCCCAGGGGGCAGTTTTAGGGCCATGCTATTTTTTTTATATGTGAACGACTATGGAAGGAATAATCTGAAGTGTCCCTGTTCGCAGATGACGTGAAGTTGATGAGAAGAATTAAATCGGACGAGGATTAGGCAGGACTGCAAAGAGACCTGGAAGGGCTGGACATGTGGGCCAGTAACTGGCTTTCGAATTTAAACCCAAATGCAAAATCATAAGATTGGGGAGGGGGAAAAAAGACCGCGACAGAGTTGGGTAGTGACAAAGACTACAGACCTCATCAGGGAGAAAGACCTTGGGGTTGACCATAACACCGAGCCTCACCCGGGGCACACATCAACCAAATAACCCTGCAGCATACGGGGGGCCTGGGAAACCTGAGAATAGCGTTCCATACCTTAATAAAAGGAAAGTTCAAGACAAGTACATGTTTTGTTAGGCCCATACTGGGGATGCAGCACCCGTCTGGAGCCCACACCTGGGCAAACACGTCAAGAAGTTAGAGAAAGTACAAAGTTTTCAACAAGGCTAACCCAGAGCTCAAGGAATTCGTACGAGGAAAGGTAAGGGGAAAACGGGCGACACACTGGAGGGCAGAAGGTCGGGGGGACATATAACACATACAAGATACTGCGGGGGGAAAAACAAAGGGGACAGAATAGGGTTCAGAGGGGGACAAGGGAAAGGGGTCACAACGGAATGAAGACTAGACGAGTCACAGGGGCGTTGGAAATAAATTTTTTAAGTCTAGATTGTCAGCAAGGGAATCCTACGTGAAGTAGGGAGGCAGAAACCATACTAGTTTTTTAAAAAGAGGTATGCAAAGCCAGGGAAAGGAGAGAGAGGGCCCAGTACGATCAGTGAAGAGGCGGGGCCAGAGTAGTCTCGACCCCCGCAATCACAATTAGGGAATTAGGTGGTACACCACCACCACACACAACACACACACACACACACCAACCACCACACGCACACACACACACACACACACACACCACACACACCACACACACACACACACACACACAATATATTTTTATATAATATATAAAATATATATTATATATATATATATAAAATATAAAAATAAAAGCAAAACAACCCCTCTGAAAGAATAGAGAAATTTCCCAAACCTTTCGTGAACTCACATTTCAAAATTTTTGATAATGTAGAGTCACGAAAACGCTTGGGAATTTTTCTATTCTTTTTAGATGGTTGTTTTGCATATTCTGAAATCACCTTTTACTGTGATTCTTATTGCATATAAAATATATATATATTATATATATATAAAAATTATATATATTATATATATTATATATATTTATATTATATAATATTAAAAATTTTTTTTACTATTACCACATCGGCTGATTCCCACTAGGGCAGGGTGGCCATAAAAAGAAAAACTTTCACCATCATTCACTCCATCACTGTCTTGCCTGATGCGTGCCTACATTCATTCAAAACGCAAAATTAACCTTTCCTTTTTTCAGAACCCGAAAACACTCATCCTATCTCCAGGACCCACGTCCGGCCTGCTGGTTTCCCTGAATCCCTTCATAAATGTTACTTTGCTCACACTCCAACAGCACGTCAAGTATTACAAACCATGTGTCTCCATTCACTTTTAACAAATACGCTCACACATGCTTGCTGGAAGTCCAAGCCCCTCGCACACAAAACCTCCTTTACCCTTTCCCTCCATCTTTTCCTAGGCCGACCCCTACCCTGCCTACCCTCCACAACAGATTTATACTCTCTCGAAGTTATTCTATTTTGTTCCATTCTCTCTACATGTCCAAACCATCTCAACGACCCCTCTCAGCCCCCATGAATAATAGTATTGGTAATCCCACACCTCCTCCTAATCTCCAAACTACGGATTCTCTGTTTTATATTCACACTACACACTGCCCTCAGACATGACATCTCCACTGCTTCCAGCCAACTCGTTGTTGCAACAATCACCACCCATGCCTCACACCCATACAAAAGTGCTGGTATAACTATACTCTCATACATTCCCCTCTTTGCTTTCATGGAATAAGTTCTATATCTCCACAGACTCCTCAGTGCACCACTCACCTTTTCCCCCTCGTCATTTCTACGATTCAACTCATTTTTCATTAACCCATCTGGTGACACCTCCACTTCCAAACATCTGAATACATTCACCTCCTTCATACTCTCTCCCTCCAATCTGATATCCAGTCTTCCATTATCAAATTTGTTTGTTTCCCTCATCACTTTACTCTTTCGTATATTAACTTTTATTTTTCTTCTTTAACATATTCTACCAAACTCATCAACTAACCTCTGCAACTTCTTTTCAGAATCTCCCAAAAGCACACTGTCATCAGCAAAGAGCAACTGTGACAACTCCCACTTTGAGTTAGATTCTTGCCAACACCCGAAGATTCATTTCTCTTACAACCATGGTGACATCACACATCCTTTTCTACGGCTTACTTTTACTGGGAAAGAATCTCCCTCTCGCCTACATTCTCTGACCTTAGCCTCACTATCCTCGTAAAGACTTTTCACTGCTTTCAATAACCTACTTCCTATTACATACATTTGCAAGATCTGCCACATTGCCCCTCTATCCACCCTATCATACGCTTTTTCCAAATCCATAAATTACAAAAAAACCTCTTTACCCTTATCTAAATACTGTTCATCTATGTTTCACTGCAAACGCTTGTGCTATAAACCCCCGACCCTTTCTAAAGTCTTCTTGTTCATCTGCTATCCTGTTCTAAGTCTCAGTATACATGCTCTCTGCAAATTCCTATGTACCTTACCCTCTTCCATACATTTATTAAATAAAAACACTATATCCCCAACTGCTTTTAACATTTCTGTCTTTATCCCATCAATCCCAGCTGCTTTATTTCCTTTAATTCTAACCACTTCCTCACGAACTTCCCTCACACTCACAACTGGCTCTTCCTCACTCCCACAAGATATTATTCCTCTTTGCCCTATACACGAAATCACAGCTTCTCTATCTTCATTAACATTTAAAAAATCCTCAAAATATTCCCTCCATCTTCCCGATACCTGTAACTCTCCGTTTAATAACTCTTCTCTCCTATTTTTCACTAACAAATCCATTGGTTCTCTAGGCTTTCTCAACTTATTAATCTCACTCCAAAACTTATTCTTATTTTCAACAAAATTTGTTGATAACGTCTCATCCACTCTCTCTTTTGCTCTCTTTTTACACTGCCTGACCACTCTCTTAGCCCCTCCTTTTCTCTCCATATTCTCATCCCTCCTTGCATCACTTCTACTTTGTAAAAATCTTTCATATGCTAACTTTTTCTCTCTTACTACTCTCTTTACATTATCATTCCACCAGTCGTTCCTCCCGCACCAAGTTTCCTGTAACCACAAACCTCTCTTAAACACTCTATCACTATTTTCTTAAACTTACCCCAAAGATCTTCGACCCCATTGCCCTTGCTAGCACTATCATCTATCCTCCAACAGTTGTTTATATCTTACCCTAACTGCCTCCTCCTTTAGTTTATAAACTTTCACCTCTGTTTTACTTGCTGCTTCCATTGTCATAGTATCCCATATATCTTTTACTCTCACTGTAGCTACAAATAAAAAGTGATCTGAAATATCTGTAGCCCATCCATAAACATGTGCATCCTTAAGTCTACCCAACAGTCTTTTATCTACCAATACATAGTTCAGCAAACTACTGTCATAATGCTCTATATCATATCTTGTATACTTCTTCATACTCTTTCTTAAAATATGTTTTACCTATAATCAAACCCTTTCCTATACAAAGTTCAATCAAATTCTCCCCATTATAATTTACGCCTGGCATCTGAAACTTACCTACGACACTCTCTAAATGCTTCACCTACTTTCGGATTTAGGTCCCCTACCACAGTTACTCTCTCACCTGACTCAAACGTTTCTACATACTCGCTTAACATCTCCCAAAATCTCTCTCTCTCTCCTCTCTTCTCCAGGTAAATACACAGTTATTATAACCCACATTTCACAGCCGACCTTTATTTTAATCCACATAATCCTTGACTTTATACATTTATATTCCGTATTGTCACTCCATAACTGATCCTTCAACATATCCCATCAAGGAAGGGTGTCCCATAAAAGAAAACCTTTCATCATCATTTACTCCATCACTGTCTTTCCAGAAGCACGCTTACGCTACTGTTATAAAACTGCTACATTAACACCCCTCCTTCACACATATATATATATATATATATATATATATATATATATATATATATATATATATATATATATATATATATATATATATATATATATATATATATATATATATAAAATAATATATATATATATTATATATATATATATATATATATATATATATATATATATATATATATATATATATATATATATATATAATAAATATATATATATATACGATCATTATTTTTGGAAACAATGAGGCAATTTTAAAACGTAATTATTACTAAACTCATTGGTTTCATAAATCCTGACGACTAATATTATACAGACGGAGCCTAGAAGCTATACGTCACGCCAGTAAACAAAGGCAAGTATATATGCAAGAACTTGTGCTTGTGTGCATAAATATTCAGAAACTTAAAGAATACCCAGGTTACAAACACATGTACATCAATGTTGATCAACATCAAATTTCCATAAAATACTTACATCAAACATTTGCAGAGCATCAACGTAGTCGGAGTAGAAAGAATATCTTCGTATGATGTTACCTGTAAAGAGAAGTACATTATAAATACACATTAAGCAGAATATTGTGTAGAAGTCGTATTGGCACTTGGACTGTGCAGTCTTTGTATGATAAGAGTCACTTGATTCCTTTATCTAAACTTGTTAGTGTATATGTATGTTCATCGTCTTTTTTAACAGGAAGGGTTTGAGTTATGAGGTATAAGATGTATTTTGAGCATTAGAGGTTACACATCCAACAGTTTTGCCTGAGAGCATTAGAACAGAGTGGAGACACGTGATTTCTTATGACATAACGTGCTGATGGAGCGTGGGCAAGGTAAAATGTATGAAAGGATTTAGGGAAACCAGTTAGCAGGTGTTGGAAAATGCAGTAATACAGTGTATGAAGTTGAAGGGTTGGGTTAAGATATTGTCCTTCAGTGTAACATTTTAACTATGAAAATAAGCACACTTCTGACAAGAAAGTAATTGAATGAATAATGGCTAAAATATTTCCTTTTATTTTGGGTCACCCAACATGGTAGGGGACAGTCCCCTTCTCACTGTAACATTCATAACTTATGCTTCACACTGATGATGTTGACCTACTATGTCTTATATACCAGCCTTTCGTTTTGGAATAATTTAGACATGTAACCGTATTGGTCAGCTTGTACATCACAGTAAATACATGTATATTTCGTGTGAAGTGGCGCTGTCACTGAGATACTGGAGTGTATATAACTTGCCTTGCTTGCTACTGTACAAGCACCTAAGAAACCTTATGGATATTAGTGAGGTATTATCCTTTCATTTGCCTTTATTCACAACTACCATCGCTCTCTTTTCCTTTCTCTCTTTCAAAATAAAGGTTAATAAAACTTTGCTCTCATATAATGTACTTACCTGTAATACATGGAATATCTCGAAATTAAGTTCTTTAGCTGTTTACTGCCCCCTGCTGTCATTAATGAATTAATGGAAACGATTTTAATAGCAAGTATTGATTAGTGAATGTTTTACATACTGACTGTTAGATATTGTCAGTGGCCATCATTTTTGATAGGGTTAAGGGCAGATGATGTAGGAACATTTTCACAACTCCTCTATTTTATTTTTTTTTCTGGAGTGAAAAAGTTCCACTGGCAGGTTATTCATCAGAAAACATTCGTTTTGTTTCATGATGAATCTTGCATAACTCCACTGCAACCATCAGATGCTGCATGTACAAACAAGCTTGATTGGCCATTGAGCCCAAACAAGTGAGTTCAACTCCACTAAACATTTTGTATCAAGTGTGAAATGTTGAAATATATACTCCTTTGGGGAAACTATATACTTAATACTCATTCTTATACAGTTCTGTTGTAGGGATTCCACGATTCACAATGAAGGGGCCTCTTTGGATGCAGCTGTGAAGAGGATGAATCCACTGAAGCTAGGTATATTTCATTTTATGTATTTAAATAGACTTAGCTGGTAAAAAATCCCCATAGCTTTTGGTCGTGCTCAAACTAGATAGTGGCCACACAGTGGTCCAAGAACTTGTAAGACAGTTTACAAGTCATAAAGAACTAAAGATCCTTCGAAAACCCGGTAAAGACTGGAGTTTTTACAAAATATTTGAGTTACTGCAAGACCTCAGCGAAAGAGAATGGTGAGATGGGCCCATGGGCCCTCGCTGCTCCAGCAGAAAACGGGAGTCACCTGCTGCTCACCCAGCACTCCAAGTGTCCCGGAACGTCACCCAGGGTAGCGTAGAAAACGGGGCATCCAGCATTGTCCTCTCACTCACTCAAGCGGCAACTCACCCAAACAGACATACCCACCATACACAACACCAGACTATGGTCTCAGAGTTGTCTGAATGTGAATGTTCTCTACACACAGTGTTTATAGTGTTTATAAAGGCAACTTAAGGGACGAGACTGTGTCTCATGTTTCTCTCATATATATTTTTAAATTAAGTTTAAACTTTTATCATATACATTAGCATATATATATATATATATATATATATATATATATATATATATATATATATATATATATATATATATATATATATATATATATATATATATATATATATATATATATATATATATATATATTATAGGTAGTAGGTTGGTAGACAGAAACCGCCCAGGAAGGTACTACCATCGTGCCAAGTGAGTGTAAAACGAAAGTCTGTAATTGTTTTACATGATGGTAGGATTGCTGGTGTCCATTTTTCTGTCTCATAAACATGCAAGATTTCAGGTATGTCTTGCTACTTCTACTTACACTTAGGTCACACTACACATACATGTACAAGCATATATATACACACACCCCTCTGGGTTTTCAAATATTTTCTTACTAGTTCTTGTTCTTGTTGTTTATTTTCTCTTACCTCCATGGGTAAGTGGAACAGAATTCTTCCTCCGTAAGCCATGCGTGTTGTAGGAGGCAACTAAAATGCCGGGAGCAAGAGGCTAGTAACCTCTTCTCCTGTATATATTACTAAATGTAAAAGGAGAAACTAAATGTGCTCACTCAGTGATCAGTAGAGAACTGGGCTCACTCAGGAATCACTGGGAAACTGTGCTCACTCAGTGATCACAAGGGAACTGTGCTCACTCAATCATCACAAGGGAACTGTGCTCACTCAGTGATCACAAGGGAACTGTGCTCACTCAGTGATCACAAGAAAACTGTACTCACTCAGTGATCACTAGGGAATTGTGCTCACTCGGGGATGACTAGGAAACTGTGCTCACTCAGTGATCACTAGGGAACTGTGCTCACTCACTTATGATTGGTTAACTTTGCTCATTCACCGATCAATTGGGAACTGTGCTCACTAAGTGATCACTGGGGAACTGTGTCACCCAGTGATCACTGGGGACCTGAGCTCACTCAGTGATCACTGAGGAACTGTGCTCACTCAGTGATCTCTATGGAAGTGTGCTGACTCAGTAATCACTAGGGAACTATGCTAACTGAGGAACTGTTCTCACACGGTGATGACAGGGGAACTGTACTCACTCAGAGATTACTAGGGTTCTGTGCCCACTCAGTGATCATTAAGGAACTGTGTTCAGTAATCACTAGGGAACTGTGCTCACTAAGTGATAACTAGAGAATTGTGTTCACTCAGTGATCACTAGGGAACTGTGCTCACTCAGTGATCACTGGGGAACTGTGCTCACTCAGTGATCACTAGGGAACTGCTCAATGAGTTTTCACGGTGGAACTGTGTTCACTCAGTGATCACTGGGGAACTGCGCTCACTCAATGATCATTGAGGAACTGTGCTCACTCAGTGATCGCAAGGGAACTATGCTCACTCAGTGAACACTGTGGAACTGTGCTCATTAATTTATCAATAGGGAACTGTGCTTACTCAGTGATCACTAGGGAACTGTGCTTACTCAGTGATCACAGGGGAACTGTGCTCACTCAGTGATCACTACGGAACTGTGCTCACTGAGTGATCAAAGTTGAGCTGTGATCACTCATTGATCAGTGGGGAACTATACTCAATACAGTGGTTAATAGGAAACTGTGATCACTCAGTGATCACTAGGGAACTGTGCTCACTCAGGGATCACTAGGGAACTGTTCTCAGTCAGTGATCACAAGGGAACTGTGCTCGCTCGGTGATCACTAGGAAACTGTGCTCACTCAGTGATCACTGGGATACTGTGCTCACTCATTGATAACTGGGGACCTGTGCTCACTCAATGATCACTAAGAAACTGTGCTCACTGAGTGATCATAATGGAACTATGCTCACTCAGTGATCATAATGAAACTATGCTCACTCAGTGATCACTAGGGATATGTGCTAACTCAGTGATCACTGGGGAACTGTGATCACTCAGTGATCACTGGGGAACTGTGATCACTCAGAGATCACTGGGAAACTGTGCACTGTAAGTGATCACTGGGGAACTGTGCTCGCTCACTGATCACTAGAGAACTGTGCTTACTCAGTGTTCACTGGAAAACTGTGCTCACTCAGTTATCATTAGGGAACTGTGCTCATTCAGTGATCACTGGGGAACTATGCTCACTCGGTGATCACTAGGGAACTGTGCTCACTATGTGATCACTGGGGAACTGTGCTCACTCAGTGATCACTAGGGAACTGTACTTACACAGTGATCACTAAGGAACTGTGCTCACTCAGTGATCACATGGGAACTCTGCTCACTCAGTGATCACTTGGGAACTGTGCTCACTCAGTGATCACTAGGTAACTGTGCTCACTCATTGATTACGGGAGAACTGTGCTCACTCACAGATCACTTGAGAACTGTTCATACTCAGTGATCTCTAGGAAACTGTGCTCACTCAGTGATCGCTGGAGAACTGTGCTCATTCAATGAAAATTGGAGAACTGTGCTCCCTCAATGATCACTAGGGAACTATACTCACTCAGTGATCATTGGGGCACTGTGCTCCCTCAGTGATCACTAGGGAACTGTGCTCCCTCAGTGATCACTGGGGAACTGTGCTCACTCAGTGACGACTGTTGCACTGTGCTCACTCAGTGATCAAAAGGGAACTGTGCACATTCAGTTATCACTTGGGAAATGTTATCACTCAGTGATCACTGGGGAACTGTGATCACTCAATGATCACTGGAGAACTGTGCTCACTCAGTGATCACTGGGGAACTGTGCTCACTCAGTGATTAATAAAGAACTGTGCTCTTTCAGTGATCACTGGGGAACTGTGCCCACTCAGTGATCAGTGGGGAACTGTGCTCACTAAGTGATCACTATAGAACTGTGCTCACTCAGTGATCACTGGGGAACTGTGCTCACTAAGTGATCACTATAGAACTGTGCTCACTCAGTGATTACTAAGCAAGTGTGCTCACTCAGTGATCACTGGGTAACTGTTCTCACTCAGTGATCACTAGGGAACTGTGCTCACTCAGTGATCACTGGAGAACTGTGCTCACTGAGTGGTCTCTGGAGAACTGTGTTCTCTCAGTGATCACTGGAGAAATGTGCTCACTCAATGATCACTAGGGAACTGTGCTTACTCAGTGATCACTGGGGAACTGTGCTTACTCAGAGACCAGAAGGGAACTGTGCTCACTCAGAGGTCACTAGGGAACTGTGCTTACTCAGTGATCCAAATGGAACTGAGCACACTCAGCGATCACTAGAAAACTGTTCTCAATCAGCGATCACTGGGGAACTGTGCTCACAGTGATCACTGGGAACTGTGCTCACTCAATGGTCACTAGTGAATTGTGCTCTATCAGTTATCTCTGGAGAACTGTGCTCACTCAGTGATCACTGGAGAACTGTGCTCATTCAGTGACCAATATGGAACCGTGCTAACTTAGTGATCACAGTGGAACTGTTCTCACTCAGTGATCACAGGGGAACTGTGCTCACTCAGTGATCTCTAGGGAACTGTGTTCACTCAGTGATCACTGGAGACCTGTGCTCACTCAGTGATCACCATTGAACTGTGATCACTCAGTGAACACTGGAAAATTGTGCTCACTCAACGATTTCTGGAGAAATGTGCTCACTCAGTGATCACAAGAGAACTGTGCTCACTCAGTAATCACTGGGCCACTGTGCTCACTCAATGATCACTAGGGAACTGTGCTCACTCTGAGATCAATAGGGAACTGTGCTCTCTGAGTGATCACAAGCGAACTGTGCTCTCTGAGTGAACACTGGGGCAATGTGCTCACTCATTGGTGACTAAGGATCTGTGCTCACTCAGTGATCACATGGGGACTGTGCTCACTCAGTCATCACTGGGGCACTGTGTTCACTCTGATCACTGGGGAACTGTGCTCACTCAGTGATCACTGTAGA